ATTCTTATGTTTTATTTTTGATTTGACTAACATATATATTTAGACAGTAATATTTTTAACATCTGTAATATTGCTGCTGAAAGACTCTTCTGCACATTTGAGGTTATTCATGGTCAGCTGATGGTGATTTATTAATACTTTCACGTTTTTACATTTCCTTTCAATGTTTGATGGTTTCAACAAGTTCACTGTCAGTCGCTGATTGTTTACAGTTTAAAGGAAGTCACTGCCACAATTCAAAGTGTTGCGTGCTGAAGGAACACAGTGAGTAGCTTATGATGGAACCAAAATGAAGCATGCACTTGTTATTGGTTATGTTGGAAAATACTGTATCCTGAAGCCTGACTGGTCGAATGAGCAGATCTTCAATAAACCTCATGAACTGATTGATCGATTACAATCACTAGGACACATTTCTCAATACTAAAGTCACTTTTTCACAACTCTTCACACAGTTCTCCTAACCATCTTTCAACTCGACACAGCAGTTCATCTCACAATAAGAATGCACTAAAACCACCAAAAACACTTCATTAATGTCTCAAATCAGCTTATTCTTCTATAACTCTAGCAAAGGTTTTCACCAAACAAACACACGTTATCACTCATAATAACACAATGACCTAAAAACACTAACAACAGGGAGCATTACACAATGTTTTCTTTTGTAAAATATCTTTACAAAACAAGAATGACACTCTCTGCTGTTTATAATTCACTGCAGTGTATGTTACATGCTCTATGTTTACAGTACAGTACAGTTATTCCTAGGTTTTGCCCTTTTGTACAGATGGTAATGAAAGTGAAAGACTAACACTTGTGAAGATGTTCATCTACATGCAGCTGCTTTGATAGTATTTGACTTTTACATCCAGAATATTTTTCTATATGATATTTCTTATTCATTGTTGTACTGTGCAGTACTACTCAAGTGTAACAGTTTTGAAAACAATATGTAAACATGTGCAAATTGGCTTGTATAGAACATAAAGGTTTGGTGGTGTTTGTGTCGAAACGAGAAAATAATTCATGTAATTTGACAGATGTGGTCAATGGGCCTCATTTATGAAACTTGCGTAACTATAGGAGTAAATTCTGAGTAATTTGCGTGTAAAACAGACCTTCCCGAAAACTCTCCTCCGGATTCACAAACGCTTCGTAAACGTCCGATTTGATAGTTAAACGTGTATTTTAATGAATTCCAATCATTCGTAAATGGGGCGCTCGTGCACGCTCATTCACGATTAGCATAATCCCCGCGCGCCTATGAATTACAGCTACGCAAATTGCGTGTCCAGGAACGCAGTGGAATATTCTGGTCTACTTTCTCAGGTTTGGCTCCAGTATATTGCATAAATGCAAAAAAGACTAATAGGCCATATGCCTAACAATAAATATTCAATAACGTGTGTCCACCAAAGTGTTTTTAGACAGCTGAAAAATGTCAGGCGCTCTTCTGAATACGACCAGTTGGTGGCGCTTGAGAACGCTTTGGTGGCACAGCGTTTTTCCAGCTGAGACGCTTTAGTTGCTATAATTTGGAATATTAACAGTGGCAACATATTAGCCTACTAATATGTAATTTTTAAGAATTTGACTAAATATAATAAAGCAGTAACCAGTAATATTTACTTCTCCATCGTTGTAGGCAGTCGTTGTAGGATGTTTAGGTATTTGTCCCGCCTCTCCTCTATTTACGGCTGGGTAAATAGTGACAGTGACGAGCGCTGCCTTTTACAGTTATCAACTCAGCTGATAAAAAAAAAAAAAAAAAAAATGTAATTAATAAAAAATGTTAAAATTAAAAAAATTAAAAACGAGGGCAAGGGCAAATTAACTTGTAATTATTATGGCAGTGCATCAAAATTCAGTGTCATCAGTTTGCCAAAGAGAGCACAGAATGCTTTACGCACCATTTACACCTGGTAAGGAGCAGGTGTACATTTCTTTTGTATCAACTAACATTTTGAAAATACGAACATTTTCATGAATTCGAAAGTTTACGTCAGAGCGGCTTTACGAACGATTTACACAAAAATTTGTTCTGCTCATGTTTCATGAATGAGGCCCAATGAATGCATTTTGTGCCAAAGCAGTGATAAATGATCCACAGTTTAGCCTCAGAGACTGATGTTGTGCTCGCTGTGTGAAGAGTTGTGAAAAAGTGACCCAAGTAATGAGAAATGTGTCCTAGTGATCGTAAAAAGCGGTAAATTAATGTGAGGTAATGAGATCTGAAAATAGCTGTTTCAGTATTACATGTATTATCACTATCATTCTCAAGTATTATATATATGTGACCCTGGAGCACAAAACCAGTCATAAGGGTACATTTTTTTGCCAATATTTGGCTGAGATACAACTATTTGAAAACCTGGAATCTGAGGGAGCAAAAAAATCTAAATATTGAGAAAATAATCTTTAAAGTTGTTCAAATGAAGTTCTTAGCAATGCATATTACTAATCAAATATTAAGTTTTGATATATTTACGTTAGGAAATTTACAAAATATCTTCATAGAACATGATCTTTACTTAATATCCTAATGATTTTTGGCATAAAAGAAAAATGTATAATTGTGGCCCATACAATGTATTGTTGGCTGTTGCTACAAATATACCCCAGCGACTTAAGACTGCTTTTGTGCTCCAGGGTCACATATAGCAGAGAGAGGCACATAAAAAAAGTGATTAAATGCCAATTAACCTGAAAAACTCATTCACAGCTTCTCTAATCGGTCAGGTTTGATAAATAAGCTGATCGTTTCGGGCAGATGAAGAAACGCTGCAGTAAGGATCTGTAAAGTTGTAGTGAAGCATGATGATGATGAAGATGTACCTCTGATGATGGTCATATCGCTGCTGAGCGGGATCATATTCTCCTCCGACATCCACCAAAACATCACACTGCTTCAGGAGCGACGCGTCTCTGCTGCGGAGGATCTCTGCGTCCTGATGAAGAAGAGCACACAGATGGTGAAGAAGAGCACACAGATGGTGAAGCGCACAAAGATGGTGAAGAGCACACAGATGGTGAAGCGCACACAGATGAAGAAGAGCACACAGATGATGAAGAGCACACAGATGATGAAGCGCACAGATGATGAAGCGCACAGATGATAAAGCGCACACAGATGGTGAAGGACACAATGATAATGAAGAGCACACAGATGATGAAGAAGAGCACACAGATGATGAAGAGCACACAGACGGTGAAGGGCACACAGATGAAGAAGGGCACACAGATGAAGAAGAGCACACAGATGGTGAAGGACACAATGATAATAAAGAGCACACAGATGGTGAAGAGCACACAGATGATGAAGAGCACACAGATGAAGAGCACACAGATGAAGAAGCGCACACAGATGAAGAAGCGCACACAGATGATGAAGAGCACACAGATGATGAAGAGCACACAGATGATGAAGAGCACACAGATGATGAAGAGCACACAGATGAAGAAGAGCACACAGATGGTGAAGAAGAGCACACAGATGGTGAAGCGCACACAGATGGTGAAGCAGATGATGAAGAGCACACAGATGATGAAGAGCACACAGATGAAGAAGAGCACACAGATGATGAAGGGCACACAGATGATGAAGGGCACACAGATGATGAAGGGCACACAGATGATGAAGAGCACACAGATGGTGAAGGACACAATGATAATGAAGAGCACACAGATGGTGAAGGGCACACAGATGATGAAGAGCACACAGATGGTGAAGGACACAATGATAATGAAGAGCACACAGATGGTGAAGAGCACACAGATGATCATTCTCCTGTTAAACACTCATCACAGCTCCTACAGTAAACAAGATCTGTCTGCACCGCTGCTTCAGTACAGTACTACAATACAGTACAGCATACTGTACACTGACATAAGAGACACTGTGAACATGAGACTGTTTTTATGTTGGGATTCACTGTGTGATGAAGAGTCTGGTGAGTGCTTTATCTGATGCTGAAGTGAAGTAGCAGACTGTGAATATAGTGATGAAGAGCACCTTGTATTCTGGCAGCTGTCGCAGAAGAAAACACGCCAGAACCTCATCGCAGTGAAAGGTGCCGTTATGAGTCCCGATCTTCATCTTCATCTTCCTCAGAAGAGCGTTATTCAGAAACACTTGACTGACCGACCGGCGGAGCACGTCCATCAACTACCTCTTCTTCTTCTTCTTCTTCTTCCTCCTCCTCCTGAAGGGTTTCAGCGGCTGGAGAAGCAGCGTTAGCGCCACCTGTCGGTCAGGAGTGAAGCGATCTCACTGTCCACTGTGTCTGTCATATGCATGATTTCATCTGTTGCTCTTAATAACACACTGTACTGGTTTACTAGGGCATTCAGGAGATATTTTAATGCTGAGCTGTGCAAATCCCAAGATTTGTTGACAAAGTAATTGCATTGTTATTAAAACATTAATTTAGCACACAATAATGAATATAACTGGAAGATGTTTCAAGCTTTCTCTTAATGTTTTATTCATTGAAAAACTGCCTGTGCCTCTTTATTAGCCAACAAAAACATGCAACTGATTTCTCAGCACACACAGTTAAAGCCATTTAAAGTGCGTTTACAGCTGATTAAATCTGAAATACATCACTTGCAGAACACTCATGTCTATATTAACTACAATATCTATTTCAGCTTCATCAATTCCTGATTATTAACTTTGATCAATACATATTTACTGCTTCAGGTAGTGCAAAGAAACATTACACTACAGGTGTTGTGTCTGAAGCTTCCTCAGTTACAGAACTAGATGTATCCAGGCCAAAGCATATACTTTTTAATTGTTTAACTTTTTAATGAACACAAGAGAGGAAGAAGCAGGCCTGATAGCACACATATCTCAGAGACGTCTATTCCAGGTGTGTGTTTACATCTGCTCATCTGCAATACGTTTCTGGGACTTCTCCTGTCAGATGTTAAAGATGTTATTTAAGATGTTTATGATTTAGAATGTATGTAAAACTGACTTTTTAAAGAGGTTTATCAGATGTTTGTGCACAGCAGATGTTTTCCAGACGTCTTGCAGACGTATGTGTGTGTGCTATCTGGGACTTTTCTCCTTAATGCATAAACAAAGTGAGCTTGTTTAATTACAGTTGTCCATTCTCAAATGGAGGCAGATGTCTGACATTTCAGTATGTTGTTCACAACTGAGTCAAGTTCAGCAAAAGTTATAATTAAATGTGATCTCTTCACACGGAAAGCTGATTATTACTTTTTTCTTGTAAATGTAATTAAGAAAAGCATTCAGACTCACAGAAACACATAAATATACTTAAGTGCAATACATTACTGCATTTGATTATCGATTGTATAGCCGCTGGGCTTGATTTATCAGCCCTGACACTCGTGAGATCAGACGCAGACAGAGAGCAGGTTGTGTGTGAGTGCTTGTCTTCAGTCAGAATCACTGCTGCTGCTGCTGCTGCTGCTGGATGAGGAATGCTGCAAAACAACACCATACACAGCATCAAAGACCATTCAGCATCACTGCAACACACACACACACACACACACACACACACTCCACCGCTCACGAGGACCAGCGCCTTTCAACACACTGACTGACTGACTGAATAATAATAATGCTTTATGCATCAGTCCTTGAAGACACTGATTTAACATTGTCCATCATGGCTATTTTAGGAGTAACTTGGAATAACACAAGTATGATTGAGGGGATTAAAACGAGGTTGTTACTCTTCAGCCTGTATTTTTGGAAAAACCCCTGTTAATCGTCAGTGAAGTTTGGCTAATTCACATCACTTCTACACTGTACTGCTTAAAATGAGAGCATTGGTGAAGGTGGCCTTTTGAGCAGATTTCGTTACTAAACCCTTCTGATTGGCTGCGATGCTTAGCACAGCAAAAACACACTGTAGACAGCAGTAGACAGAGTAAATAATAGTGCTGTCAGGATTGCTTCAGTGAGAGGTTATTATAGTTTTGCATTTTTAAATTTGTTTTATTTATGTATCGTTTTCAAATTTGCAATAAAATTTAGTTTCGTTTTTATTAGTTTTTTATTAAAGGGGTCATATGATGCGAATTCAATTGTTCCTTTCTCTTTGGAGTGTTACAAGCTCTTGGTGCATAAAGAAGATCTGTAAAGTTGCAAAGACTAAAGTCTCAAACCCAAAGAGATATTCTTTATAAAAGTTAAGAGTCAGCCACGCCTACCTAAAACGGCTCGTTCTAACACGCCCCCACGTCTACGTCACTGTGTAGGAAGATTTGCATAACGCCGCCCAAATGTTCACGCAAAGAAAGAAGGCGTAACTTTTATTATGCAATATTGTAAGGGGGCGTAACATTTCCGTCTCACGCTTGAGGTATTCGGCCAATCACAATGCACTGGATAGCTGGCCAATCACAGCACACCTCGCTTTTCAGAACGATGAGCTTTGTAAAAATCGTTTCAGAAAGGCGGGGCATAGAGGAGAAACAATAATGTACAGTATGTGGAAAATAATGTGTTTTTTGAACCTTAAACAACATAAACACATTTCATTACACCAAATACACAAAATAATGTTCTTTTTAGCAGCATCATATGACCCCTTTAATAATTTTGTTAGTTTGTTTAGCTTTTATTTTGTGAACACATTTCTATTTAGTTTTCATATGGTTTAGTTTCAGTTTTAGTAATTAAAGTTTTGCAGAATTAACAGATCACTTCCAGAGCGCAGGCCAAAGAAAGACTTAATTTAACCTTAGTGACTCAAACATCAAGTGACAAAATTAAAGCATTGATCAGATGGTAAAAGTATACAAATATACGCAAAAATGAAGCAGTCATGCCTTTTTAGTCCATAAATCTACATTATCATAGCCTATTTAAAAGCACTAGACAATGACAAATGTGTGTTGTGATATTTCATTTAAAAATAAATGTATTTAGTTTATATTAGGTGTCTTTTATCTTATTTATTTAACCATAATCATGATACTGTAACTGTCATGTCTTGCTCACTTTCCTGCAAACAAACGCGCATAAATCATAACTGGGACTAATTCAATAATAATGGCGGAGCCTCAACATTCGATTTGCAGCGTCCATTCGTGCTGTTATTAATGATTTTATTTCAGTTAGTTTTTCAATAAATGTTGTTAGCTTCGTTTTAATTTTTCATTTATTTTGATGTTTTTATTTTATTTCAGTTTACAAAAATGTTTTTTGATCAATCGTTTTCGTCTTAGTTTTCATTTACGAAAATAACCTTGCTTCGGTGTGGCAGCTGTATTCATAATTGTCATTTATAAGGTCTCTTAGAATCAGCTCATCCACTCGCCCAGCCTCTCACCTTGCCATGTTTCATGTGTTTGTGCTCCTTGTGAGCTTTATGAGCTTTATGGCCTTTCTTCATCTTCTTGTGTTTCTTGTGTCCAGGTGCGTGGACTCCCGCGGGGTGGCCCCCGTACTGAGGGACGGGGCAGGGGTGAGCGGCCCCGGGGAAGGGCCCCGCCGGGGGGAACGGCTGGTTGGGCGCGGGGTACGGGATGGTCGTGGGATGGTTCATGGGTGGATAGACGGGGTTGGGTCCGGGCATGGCTGGGTACGCTGGGTTTGGAGGAGAAGGAAAGGCAGGATTGGGCGGCCCAGCGGCTGGAGGTCCTGAGAGGAGAAAATCACAATACTTCAACACACAGAAAACACTCAACATCTACAGTGGGAGAATCACCAACATGCTCTTCCAACCCAGATTACTGTTTCCTATCTTCCATTAAACATAGACCTAAACTGGTTTGTTCATTAAATGACAACAGATGATTTTCAATGGCGAACTGCAGAAGAGTAATGGCAGGCCGTACTGTATGACATCTCCATCCGCTTTCATAACAGAGCTGCCCTTCGACTTACGATTCAGTGTTTCACTGAAGACAGAAAACACTGTACAAGTCACACCAGGCTGGAACAGTAAATGACAACAACAACAATGACATTCTGAACTGTTCCTTTAAATCTGAACTGCTCAACGTACTGCTAGTGTGTTTAATATCAACCGCTTGTGCTTCAGGACTCAGATGTGGCAGCCATGTTCACTGACTCTGACCTCAAAGAAGCTGAGAGCCTTTCCATCAGTCACCTTGTTGTGCTGGGTTAAACTAGCTACTGAGACTGGTAAAGATCCTGGAGGAGCTAGCAGCTAAACTAACAGCTGTTTTTTAATACAGAAGGGGACAAAACTTTCTGTGTTTGGTGTTAAAAAGGCACTGCTAGAAGAACACACACACACACACACACTCTCACACACACACTCACACAGACACACACACACATCAGGAACACTAGATGTGTATTGAGCCTAAACACCCCTGACTGAGGCACACATAGACACTGATGTGTTGAGAAATGATTAATGAATGCAAAAATCACCTTGATTTGGCCACATGTTTGTCTCTTCCAAATAACCTGCAACAAATAAAAAGACAGGCGTTATTCACTGATGTAAAGTGAACAAACATTAATGTCCACCAAAGATTCACCGCTTTCACTGCCCACCTCAAACCGCTTCTGTGTGCTGGACAGATATTTACTACAAATATGGTTTATCTATAGGAACAGTTTGCATTACATTAAGCAGTGCCTAAAATAGCCAAAGACAAATACACAATTAAAGCAAATCTGCTTTCTGGACTGTGGATACGTCAGACTGGAGTTATCAAACAGTTATAAAACAGAATGTGAAAAGTGATTGAATGCAAAGGTCAAATGATATGGGATTTTACTGCTAATGCTTACAAAGGTGAGAAAAAAAACAATGTCAGATTAATCAACTTTTTTTTAAACCATATGCCGAATAAAAATATTTCCCAATGTTACAAATGTTGTCCAACCTTGTTTGGCCTCACAGTCTCTGTCCAGTCAACACGCTTTCTTTAATAAGCACTGCCCTTTCTGATGTATAGCCTGCTGTTTTCAGATTTGCTGTTGTGTATCTGAATTTCATTTGCACTTCAGGATCACCTTATTTTACAGGTTAATTGTGATCGGAGGAATCTCACTTCACCACATTTGCAAAGCAAATGGGAAATAATAATAATAACAATAACAAAAAAATATATATACATAATTTTTTCTAGATAACTATGATTTTTAAATTCAACTACATTTCTAGTCATTAAATACGCGTAAGACACAATTATTTGTGTTCTTTTCTGAAACTGCGCACTCCATGTAATCCACATCCGGGAACTGGAAACACCCTGGACAAACAACAGCTCTCTCTCTCGGCTCAGCTCTGAACAACTAACGGAACTTCTGATTGTCAATAAGCCCAAAATACATATTCCGTTCACATAAAAGCTGTTAAAAGTCAATGATATGAAATAGCGTACCATTCAAATGCAACAACAAATAAAGTCATGTGATAGATCCTGCTTTCAGGTATTGCGGTAAAGATAAGCCGATGGCAATTTTCTAAAGATGTATTTAGTATTTGCAAATAACGGCAACAGTAGCGTCACTAATGATCAGGTTTAGACACATACCTGCTACGACACCTGTCAAGCTGTAATGAGTCCTGCTTCCGCATTCCACGAGCTCACCGATCACCGGCGGACTCTGACCGCCTCACCTGACAAACATCGACAGGTATATCTGTGGTTTTATACTGCAGTCTGTCGCTGTTCAGATATTCAGAGGCGTTTATTTGAAGAGTAAACTCTCAGCTGATAGTAATGGATGAATGGTAATTTTCAGAACAAAATCAAGTTCAAAAAGAACTAAATCAAACATGTTTGTTCTAAAATTAATGAAATATAATGTAGAATTACAGTGAAATAATTCTATGTAATTGTAAGGAGGGGTGAGCCACTGGCTCAACTTACCCCAGGACTTTCGGCTCAAATTACCCACGCCTACCATTTTAACAAACTTATATAACTAGCAGTTTAGAGCTAATGTCATGCTAACAGTATAGCCTCCTATTAGAACTTCGTGATATTTCTTTCAGATTTGTCTGTAAGTGTTCAGACACAAGACGCATGAATCCTTGAACATTGAAAAATCCCTTTGAACAGCAAAAATCTGTTTTTTGAACCTAAATGTGGCCATTAATCATCCCCTGGGCATCTCTCCATCACAGGGTGAGTAAAATTGATAACTCTTTATATATTTGTGGTCACATCACCAATTGTGTTTAAGGTTGTCTAGAAACAAGGGGTGGCTCTCCCCTACTTTAGCCTGATTACATTTCTGAAGAAAAAACAGCACTGTTTGCTCCTTACACAACTTGAAAAGTACTCTTTACATTTTTGCATTTAATTTCTTTCCATTCTTCTTAATTACTGGTAAACAGAATGATGTTTGTTTTCACGCATCAAGCACATGTGTTCAGCTTCAGGGGTGTATTCCAGAAAGGAGGTCCAACAAACTCTGAGTTTCCAACAAAACCTGCTTTCTGGGATACAGCCCTGGGGTCCTCAACGCTGGCCCTCGAGAGCCAACATCATGCAGAGCTCAGCTCTGAACAAACACCTGGAGCAGCTGATCTTCAGAAGCACTTGATATCTGTAATTATCAGTCATTAGCTGCTTCAGGTGTTTGATCTGAGCTCTGCAGGAACAGGATTCTGGATCTGTAATGTTGCTAGTGTACATGCAGAGGTTGCTAAAACTGCCTTCTTTCTTATGGAAACACTCCCGTCTTTAAATGTATTTAACATGTTTTACAGTCGGACCTAAAGGAAACATGAGCTTGATTTAGGTGTAATCTTTAAGCGTTAGATATGATTTTTAATGGTGTTTTGTGTTTTTGTTAAATTGTTACATTTTTTATGTGAAACTATTTGTGCTTCCATTTTGGCCAGTACGATGATATTTTACATCTCAGTGGAAATGTCCTGGTAAAATAAATAATTAATTCCAGTGTTTCTGCAGCAATATTAATGTTATGGCGGGGCAGGCAAGGAAGAGAAGATGAGGAACATTTTGCCTTTTTTACATTTATATTTATAAACAAAGCTGTCCAAAGGCAATCCAAGAAGACAGGAGCAGAAGAAAACACCACATCTCTGCACATTTTACAAAGACAGAACCGGATGGGGAACGAAGGAAACGCTTCTTTACGCTTCTTCAGTGTTATCCTCCCAATCTGTCAAATTTATGGAGAACAGAAAGACTTTTGGCAGGAGTCTTTACCAAATCTGGCATCATCTCCTTGACTCATTTTATGATTCCTGTCCCCTCTTTCATCTATCATTTTCAAACCTCACAGATTTGGCGTCAGAAAGGCTGCTGTTTGATCCAGAATGTGCTGAAAGACATTAAAGGGACTCTATGAGCAGAGGGTCCTCTGAGGCTCAATCTCACTGCCCACAGAAGAAGCAGTTCAGCAGTCTGAGCTGTGGTCAGTGTCCGAGGCTTTCAGGAGTGACACAGACCTGAGCAGGTTGTTGCTGATGTATCTAATCTTGTGCTAATTATTTCTCTCAGTCGGCACAGATGCGGTGTCAGAGCAAAATTCAGTGATCTCTATGGTCTCAACGAATTGTTTCAGGGACTCTTTAAGCTTGCCCTGCTGTCCTGAGTATTTAAAACGTGACGTTAGGAGCCCAGCGAGCTCATCATGACAGGAGCAAACACACTCGACAGGGTCATGTTTACATTCACATGGGACTGCAGATGAAAATTAGCCTGTATGGCTAAATCTGTCACATTTACATGATGGACTTGAGTGCTCATGCTTCTCAATGTGCATTGTCCCTTTTAAAATAAAAATAAAAAAATAACAGAAAGAAATGTATGCATTTAGCAGATGTAAAAGCAAAAGCTATTTGTCAAAAAGCCAACCATATTGGTAACAGGTTTATCAGATAACTGATGAACTAAAGAAGAGAAGGATCTGCAGGTCGGTGTCTCTCCGGCAGCAGGGTCGCAGATCGCTCACATGAGACCGGATCGCTTACATGCTAATTCTACAGATTTCCATTGATTCTGAGATTCTGCCTCTGAATGTTTTCACGCGTCTTCTTGAATGGAGCGAACAAATATTTGTTAAGAAACAGGAGGTTCTGCGAGTTACTGCAGGCTATCATCCCTAATTTTAAAATTTAATTCTGTTCCTCAAGAAATCTTACCCATTAATTTGGACTAAAACATTTTCCAACATTTTTACATTATTTACAAATTTTAAAAATGTTTAGTTTTCATGTCTTTTGCTCAATATGTTGCTTGAACTCGATATTAAAGGTTAATAGGTTTAAAAAGATTTCAGTCTCAATGATGTTGGGCACCTGAGACCCTCCGGTCACATTAGAGAGCAGGGAACAGATGAGGAATGGAGTCGGGCTCTGATGTCCACCGCTCTTCCAAATGCTCAAGAGATGCTTTAATACAGTTTCAAGTACTTCATCAACTACACTTTTATAACATGCATCAACTGCTACACATCAACATGCATGAAATAGCACTTGTGCGTAAATCCACTGTTTTTGCACAACAGTCTGCTAAGTTGGGTGATTGATTGTTCAATACCTCGGCTGCATCAGAAAGCTTAGACTGCATCAGAGCAGAATATTTCAAAAGATCTAGATCCAGTCTGGCAAACAGCATTTTCATCAGAACTTGCAGCAGGAGAACATGATTCAATAGGAATCAGAGGCTGCGTCCAAAACTGCATACTTCCCTACTATATAGTAGGCAAAAAGCAGTATGCGAGCGAGTTGAATTACTGAAATAAATGAACTTTTCCACGACATTCTAATTTATTGAGATGCACCTGTATGTTTGAATCCTCAGTATTCATAAAAGAGTAGGCAAGAATACCTGGGTGGTGCAGTAATTCTCAAGAGATTCGGATATACGTATACTTAAGTTGCGTTCTAATATGCCTACTTACCCACTATATAGTAGGAAAAAAAGAGTACGTGAAGAAAGAAGAATGTTAGAAACCGCAGTATTCCTAAAAGAGTAGGCGAGAAATCCCCGGATGTCCTACTGCTTCAGCCCAGATTCTGAAGTGTTCATCGATGGATACTCTTCTATCCCAGAAGCCCACGCGAGAGGATACGTCATCATCAAACGTGACGGAGAACAGCGACGAGGGTGTTTACAAATGTGAGTATTACAAACCAGAAACACGGTTTCTTGTGTTAAAATCACATTTGTTGAGCTATAGTTTAGAGTGTAGAGTAAACAAGCTATATACCTGTTTGACTCTGTAAAGCTGCTTTGACACAATCTGTATTGTATAAAGCGCTACATAAATAAAGGTGACTCGACTAAAACTGTTAAACTGCGGAAGGTGTAAAGATGCTAGACAGTAACGTTACAGTATATTTGTGATTTTGCTGTAAAAACATGTTTTATTATGTATAGCGAACAGTGGAGCTCCAGTAAGCACACGTACGTCTCCAAAGTGAATTTGCATAAACCATATACATCTTAAAGATAATTACTAAATGTGTATTTAACATCTGACAGGAAAATGTTCTAAAAGAATTGCAGATGAGCACATCACAACATGAACAGACATCTGAGCGAGTGATGTATGTGTGCTATTATAGTACTCACGGTCAACACTGCTTTAGATGAATGTAAGTAATGTGAATAAATAAATCTACATAGAGTTACTAAACATAAGTTATCTATTTCATTTCTCCAATAGTACTGTTGATAAATTTTGGAGCACTTGTGTTAATTCAGCATGAATTCAATGATGAACTGCCTTTAACTAAAAAATAATAATAATAATTTTACATTATTGACACACTATTTTCCTATTCAGTACTGTACAGTGCTTTGACACAATCTGTATTGTTAAAAGCACTATATAAATAAAGGTGACTTGACTTGTTAGATAAAAAGTGAGTTAACACAACATGTAAATGCAGTATTGAGCAGATAAATCACATGACTGACTCTTGTCTGATGTTACAGGAACAGATGAGACACACGTGTGTTTATCTGCTGCAGAGTGACTGATGAAGGACTGATGAATGCTTTAAGTGAGTACACTATAGTAATGAATAAAACAGCTTTTAAATCCTAAGTTGTAGTTTATTTTAATTATTGTAAATTCAAACAGAGTTATTACAGCACTGTTCTGATTCTTGATTCCTGTGCATTTACTGCAGAGCTTTTGTGGAGGAGCAGGACCTGCAAGGAAAGCATTTGTGAAAAAGGGAAAACAAACAAAAATATTAAGTAAGATCATTTTGTTACTTCTAATACAGAATCAAATGACATCGTGCTGTTAAAATGACTGCTTTTGTATTGTGTTTGTGCATCTTTGCAGGATCTGAAATGTCCACAGACTGCTGTGAGCTGTGAGGATGGAGGAGTCCACAGCTGCATCACTCCACCTCTTACTGCCTCATCTGGGGCAGATATTTATAACCGTTGTGTACGCACAAAACCAGCCCTGAAAGAGGCGTGTCGCCACGTCCTGCGCAAAAGTTGGGATTTATAAAAACAAACTTGACTGGAAAATTTGTGCACCTGCACGCAAACTTTGACCCATGCGTACAAACTATTTTTCCTGGAGTGAGAAAATGAATGAAGTAAAAACAACAATTTTAAGCTCTGTTTTCATGTCGATATACACATTTACATTAAATATTCTCTCACTCTCATTAATGGAGATAAGGACTGAAATTACATAAAGTCCTTTACGTGGACGTTAAACCAAAATTATATGAATTTAGACATATTTGTAGTGGATGCGCTTGATCACTTTTCCTCTTTAAATGACAGCGAGGAGTGCTAGGTGCACAATAATTCATCTTTAAACTGAACTGCAAATCTCATGTTATGAGAAAATATTTTTAGCGAGAACAATGATCAATGATGCGCACTTACTTCGATATTATGGCAGACACTGCTGGATTCAGTGGAACAGTCTATTGTCTGGATTGAATGGGTCCAATGATAATATCTTACTGTACAACCACAGCTGCACAGAGGTGTTGATCTCTTGTAACAGCGCTCTTCCATTAAGAAGTGATATCAGGAATGCTACCTTAGTGCATTCGGTGGAAAATTTCTGCGGCTGCATCTCGATGAACAAGGCCACTTGCAGGAGGTGTTGATGTCGTGTGAAGCATCTCCACAACATTATGAAAAATACCACTGTATTTGAAGGCTACAGCTTGAAGAAAACGATAAGATTTATACGTTCCTTTTTAAAATACTTTGTTAGTCAGACAGTTTTACACAGCAATAAATATAGGCCTGGCTATAAATAGGCCTATCTGTTTCCACTCAAAATAGAAAGATATTCACCTTATCAGCAAAACTGCATAAATTTAGTTTGATTTTAATTGTTTAAAACAATTGAAATACTATTTGGCCAGTGTCAAAGAATGAGATCAACCCTTTTCTAAAATATTTATCTGATAACTATTTTCAAAGGTTTTTGTTTTTATTTTGATATATTTATTCTAAAACATAACAAGGATATTGGATGATTTTTAGCAATAAAAATGTATATATGGCACAAATGGCATTTATAGTCCATATCTCATATTTAAAGGGGTCATATGATTCTCTCTCTCTCTCTCTCTCTCTCTCTCTCTCTCTCACACACACACACACACACACACACACACACGCACTCTCTTACACGCTCTCTTACACGCTCTCATACACTCTCTCACACACACACACACACACACTTTCTTACACACTCTCTCTCTTACGCGCGCGCGCGCACACACACACACACACACACACG